TTTTGTAGCCATTCTGGTTTTCTTTCCATGTTACCAATAATATCTTTTGTGAATGGGAAAGCTTTTACCCAATGTTTCAGTCTTGCGTTATTTATTTCTGTAGTTGGTTTTATTTTGTCAAGGAACATGTTTTTCAATACTAACATTTCATTTGGTACTGTCCATTTGAGTTTTCTTAAATATTCATCCCTTCTCGGTTCATTGTCTGCAAAGTAAGTTTTTATGACATTTTGTAAACTTTCGTTTGCAAGGTCATGTACAATAGGTTCTCTTCCTTCTATCTCCCTAACTTTCTTTCTAAACTCTTCACCAAATATACCATCTCTATGGTTCTGTGTAGTTCTTTGAGATAAATGTTCTAGAACGTCAGGTGTTATATTTCCATCAGCCATGTTCATTTCATACTGGTCCAAAATATCTGCATCTTTCATATCTTTCAATGCATTAAAGCCGCGCTGAAAATACCAGCTATATCTGGTTCACCATTCACTTCCATTGTGTCTACAACTTCTTGGAATTGTGGTTGTAAGTTTATGAACCACCTATCCGGATTAGCTTTATGACCCCATCTCATTGTAGTTCCATAGTCTGCAGAAACAAAAGTAGGTTTGTTTCCATATTGGTTAGGTTCTGAATGAACTTTAAACAATGTTTCATTTCTATATGTTTTGGTGAAAATTTAACCTTTTATTTTCACCGAGTTCAGCCAAAGATTGAACGTTATATGGTCGTAAGTAAAAAGGATTGTTGTATTTGCGTACACTTTCTTTCAGTTCTTCCATTCTATGCTGAATATTTTCATCTGATGTTGGAGTCTTTTGTATGTCGGCGAACATTTTTCGATATTCTTCTACTATGTCAGCCGAATTTTTCTTAGACTCTTGGAAAGATTCCATATTCCCCGCATACACTTGTTGAGGGTCAAGATTTTTCGGCTGTTCCAAATCTTCATCTAGTTCTGTGAAGTTAGTTTCCAAAGGAGGGACTTGTTTGTTTCCTTCAGGCTCTTCTAGCTGTTGTTGCTGAACTATTTCTTCCATGTCTGGTTGTATCTGAACTTCTTCCTGTGGAGTTTCTTGTACCTCATCTGCTGGCATTTCATATATTCCGAGACCGTTTTTAACAAGTTCCCTATTTAAGTCATCCGCATTCATAACCCTTTCTTCTTTCGTTCCGTCTCTATTTTTTACGCGTTTCATGAAGATAGTTGAATTATCATTTATCTCTGACACCAAATATCTCGGAGTAAATTCATCCATGTCATTTGGATGATATGCTATTAAATCATATCCCTTAGCGAGCTTGTATTTTCCAGGTTTGAAATTATATCCCATTTGGTGCTGAACCATAAAGCTAAATAGGTTCGGGTCAGTATTTCCTTCCTTGAACTTTCTAATAGCTTCTTTATATCTGTCACTAAAGTCAAGAGTATCTGGGTAACCATAATTTTCCTTAAGCATTTTTAAGAATTCTTGGTTTCCTTGTTCTCTACTTCTTTTATGTCCTTGCTCTGTTTGTGGTTGTTGCTGTGCAGTGTTTTGAACTGTTGGTTGTGGTGCAGTGTTTTGAACTGTTTGTTGTGTGCAGTGTTTTGAACTGTTGGTTGTGGTGCAGTGTTTTGAACTGTTGGTTGTGGTGCTGGATTTTGAACTGTTGGTTGTTGTGTTGGTTTTGGTGCATGCCTGTGTCTGTGTCCATGTGACGATGTAAATGTTTTAGGTAGTCCTGGTGCAGGTGCTTCTCTTGAGGGTTTGGTGGTATATAAGTTCCACTAGCTAGTATATAAGTTCCACCAGCTGGTATATAAGTTCCACCAGCTGGCACATATGTTCCATCTGCAGCATAATGTCCTACCTGACTTTTCGTTTTTAAGAAAGCATTTACTAGGTCTGTTTTGGTCTGTTGTAACTCTTTTTCTTGACTTTCCACAACAGTTGCTCTAACGGCGTCATAGGCACTTTGAACTGCCTGTCTCGTTGCTGCATCTGTTATTTTCGTCATATTTTGTGCTACTTCTCTTAACTCGTTGTCGAAACCTTCAGACTTCAGTTTCTTTCCAGATGAGAAGTCGTTCACTAGTTTCACCTTACTATGAAGAGCTTCGAAGGCGTTCTTAAAGTCAGCATTCATTAAAGCTTCATTTGAACTGTCTTCATCCGCTTGTATTTTGTCCTTATTGACCCTATAAGTTGGGCTGCTTTAGCGTTGGCTTGGGCATCTAACCAGTCATTTATTAGCTTTATATATTCTGCGCTTTTCATTGCCTTTTGCATGGCTGCGTCGTTATTTTTACTTTCTTGTGCTAAGTTTTCATACTGTACGTTTGGTTTTGCAACTGTAAAAGTTTTTTCTGCCTTTACATTTGCTTCAACTTCTTTTTTATACTCATCGCTATCCATATATGTCTTCAGGGCTTTTTGTTTTATTTCTTCATCTTTCAGTACTTTATATTGAGTAGTATGGTTTTTCAAATTTATAACATCTTGTTCCATTTTTGCTACTTCTGCTGCTTTTTCTGACACTTTTTTCGCATATTCCTCTGTACTTAGTTCTTTCAGTTGTTCTTCTTTCTTCTTTTTCTCTACGTTTAACTCATTGAGTTTCTTTGTGTGTCTGTCATATTCTAGTTTCTTTTCGTTTTCACTTATTTGTTTCTGTATGTCTATGTTTGACTTTTTGACATCTGTTATTTGATTTTTGAGTGAACTCAAATTCATTTGACTTTGAGGGTTATAAGCTGTTCCGTCTGCAGCTCCACCATAGCCTGCCATTTTCGCTAAAAGTGCCGCTCTTAAACCTCCACTCTGTGCACCAATAACTCGGTTTAAAAGCATAGGGTTGCTTGACATTTGTTGCAACATAGTGGGGTCATTCATCATTTGTTGTTGCAACTGTTGTTGTGGTGTCAGTTTTACTATTGGATGTTTCAATGCTCCCTTCCTCTTACGTATATTCTTACGTAGCTTACGTGGCATTTTAAGTGAAGTAAAAAACGGTTTTTGACAGATGTTTATATGACACTTTTTGTTCAGCACAAAAAACTACTCGGTCAAAGTGTTGTCAGTTTTGTAAAATAACCATCCTATCTCATTCTATAAGGGGGAAAGTCTTCTCAAAGTAAGTTAGTATGGTTAAGTCGTGTATGGTGGCACTGCGCGTCTCCATACACCACTTAGCTGTTTTGACACTTTACGAAACCGTTAACGTATATTTTACAACACAAACGACAACACTAACTTAACCTTAAATATTTACAAAGCCACCACCCACTTCATTTCACTAACGAACTCACTAATGTAAAAAATAAACGTTCTCACTATCGTTCTCACTAACGACTTCACTAATGTTCTCATAAATTTTCCTCAATATCTTCATCATCAGTGTTAACCCTATTGTAGTCATACTTGAAGCCATAAACTTTCTCTAACTTCTTAACGTAAGTTAGTATGGTTAAGTCGTGTATGGTGGCACTGCGCGTCTCCATACACCACTTAGCTGTTTTGACACTTTACGAAACCGTTAACGTATATTTTACAACACAAACGACAACACTAACTTAACCTTAAATATTTACAAAGCCACCACCCACTTCATTTCACTAACGAACTCACTAATGTAAAAAATAAACGTTCTCACTATCGTTCTCACTAACGACTTCACTAATGTTCTCATAAATTTTCCTCAATATCTTCATCATCAGTGTTAACCCTATTGTAGTCATACTTGAAGCCATAAACTTTCTCTAACTTCTTAACGTACAATTTACATAACTTACCTTCGTCATCGTATGGTTTAATGATATAACTATTTCTATCTTTATACACAGTCAATGAAAAGTCAACTGGTCTCGGATGTATTTGAAAGAACATGTTATGCTCAGGAAGGAAGAATAAATGTTTAAATGTATGTTTGTTATACTGTGGAATTCGAATGAGTTGCTTTTGTTCTGTCATTTACATCCAAATAAAAATTTTCAGTAAAATAATAAAAAATAAACTTAAAAATTAATGATATCACCACCCTCACACGTATGAAAACATAGCGCAAAAATAAATTTAGGGTAGAAGGGTAGATCTAACCTCATTTCTACCCTCATTTCTAACCTGTTGAATTCATTGCTTTATAACTCTCTTCCTTTCTCCAACTCTTCTAACTTCTTCTTAAGTTCAGCAATGTTGTCCTCATGAAGTTTAATCTTTCTCAAAATTCCTTCTTTATCTAATGGTTGCTTTATCTTTCTAAACTGAACTCTACCATCCTTCATAGTATGAATGTAAAAACCTTCCGGAATAGTTCCTGATTTAATGTATTCTACCAAAAACTTTTGTTTCATTGCTTCAGTGACTTTATTTGTCATTTTACTCTAAGGTGAAGCTAGCACAGCGATAATGGATTTCATGACTTTTTAGTATTTCATGCAATCTTAACAGATAGCCTTACAAGTACTTCCAGTGTCCCTAGCTGTCCCTCCTTTTTATATAACTCCATGACATTTATAATCTCGCGAAACTTAACAGGTAGCATAACAGATTAAAATCAGATGAGGTTTTGAACCAAAATTTCTAAGCAACGTTGTCAAGGATTTTGAGGAACTAGGGACAGAGTGTGGCAAAGTCCAAGATTTAATTTATCTTCATCTGTTTCATCAACTATCTCATCTAATATGCCAATATTTTATTCATAACTCGTGGCAAACTCACTAACTTTCATTATGTTCATCTGCATGCTTCATCTGATAGAAAGTATGACTTTCATTAACTCTGTGAGATAATGAAAACTACTAGGGACAGAGACCATGGCAAAGTTTATGACTTTCATTATTTCCAGAACTTAATGAAAACTACTAGGGACAGAGACCATGGCAAAGTTCATGATTTAATTTATTCTCTCACTAACTTCAGCACAAACTCCAACACTAACGACAAGTACTAACCTCAGCACAAATGACAAACACTAACAACAACCACAAACTCCAACACTAACGACAAAAATAAATGTCCTCACTTCTTAACAAAGTAATATGTGCTTCTTACACCACCATAGCTCAAACGTTTCTTTTCAAACATCGATTGAAACTTATTTTGAGCCATTGGCTTTAGTCTCTTTTTCTTCAAATACGCCAAGAAATCTTCTTCACATCTTTTCACTTCATAGCCTTCTTTAAACTCCTCCTTGTTAAGTTCTATGAAATCCTTTATCTCATTCTTTGTTGCAATGGCTTCTTCACGAACGACATCATGAACTATTTCATCACTGTTCTCATGTATGACCTCCTCACTGTTCTCATGAACTATTTCATCACTGTTCTCATGTATGACCTCCTCACTGTTCTCATGAACTATTTCAACACTGTTCTCATGAACGACCTCCTTACTGTCTTTCATAAGCGTTTCAAAATCTCCTTTACTCATTACTTCAATCTCATGCTGTTCACAGTAGTACTTAAACTCACTGTATATGTCTTTGTTGTATGTTATATTGCTTCCCATGTACTCCATGAATTTTTCAAGCACTTCCTCATAATTCACTGTTTCTTTCTTTCCACGACCTTCTAATATCATACTTGCTTCGTAAATATAACTTCTTGCAGAACCGTCTCGCTTTCTACTTCTCTTCACAAATTCTCTCATCTTGCCACCAAATACATTTGAACTACATGCAAAGAATTCATTCTCCTTCGCAAATTCTTTATATCTTCTGTAGCACTCTGTACAATTCCATCCGGATACAAACTTTTCATAGAACTCCTCGTAAAACATTTGGTAAGGTGTTTTGTTCATTTCGATGAGTTCTTGTTTAGCCCTGGTGAATGGTATCTTCCTTACATCAAATTCACTTAAATCTTTCCTCATGAAGTACGTCAGTAAGTTTGAATAAAACTCTTCATTAAAGCTTTCAATGAGATTTGAGAAATATTCGTAATTTCCTTTGTATCTGCTGCTTACGTCAATGACAACAAATCTTCTGTCGTCTTTGTCAATCTTTACTGAGTTGAAGTTGTTAGATATCATGATGATATTACAAACATTCTCTATCTTTCTTACTGGCTGACACTTCTGATTTAAGTCCAACTGAGTCTCTGTTACTATTGACTTTAGTGCGTCGTGGTTCATGACCTTAGACGTATCGCATGAGCTTAGTTCATTGCATACGATGAGCTTCATGTTCTCAATAGCAGCATTGAATCTACCAACCACATTCTCTATTGCCGTTATATTATTGTTGGCGTACTTGCTAATGAGCTCGCATAGAACATTACTAAGTACATTCTTACCAGTTCCTTGCTTTCCTATTAACAAAAGTACTGTTCCAGTCTTTCCACAAGGATTTTGAACGATGTAGGCGAACCAGTTCAAAACATACTCATAAAGCTCTTCATCCTCATTACATATGACATCGTGAACATGTTTCAAATATCCTTCAATAACGTTCTCATCTACTTCATTCAGTACCTCATACTCATATCCTCTGAAATAGCTGTAAATGTCATCTCTTTCGTCAAAGAATCTCATGCCTGACTTCATAAGATAGTTCTTGTTCTGACCCGCTTCATAAATCATCAGTGCGTTCACATCCTTCTCCTCAATACGTCCTACATAAATACTCTTCATGAGCTTATTGAATTCCTTGCTATCTATTGATACAAGTGTTGTTGTGTCTCGTATTCCATCATAATCTTTCACTAGATATGTCATACGTGCTCCGTCAATAACGACAACACATCTTCTTAAGTCATTTATAACACTAGCTATGTCAATACCGTCCTCACTCATGTACTTATTTTTCCTCAAGTCCTTTAGTGTGAAAGTGTCTCTAAGTTCTATTTCAACAATTCATTTACACATCCTTTGCAATACTTCTCTATAAAATATTTCTGTCGTTCTTTACTAAGTTTCTTAACAGCTCTGAAGAACCATGTGTTTTGACTCAAACATCCTTCACAACTTCTCTCATTCATTCCTAGTTCTTTCATGTCATTATCTTCAACCTCTATGGTCTCATTGACTAAGGTCAAAGGGTTCTTAGTCATTGCTGGTCTTATCTGAAACAATGTTTGTGCAACAGGTTTAACTAGTTCAGCAACGTCCTTCCTTAATATGAATAGCTGTTTCCACTCATCTTTGCTAACAGTTCTTTCATAACCACTGACAGTAATGATTTCATTTGCTGACCTTAGACGCTTATGTTCTATCATTTGTATTGCTTTTGTGTAAGGCTTTCGTGAGCATAGGTTGTATATGTCATTCCTGCAATGTTCATTCATGCCAATAGTACTAAATCCTTTCTTTGCTGTTGAATGCATAATATCCATTAGTTCCTGTGTTCGTATTGCTGTCTCATAAAATACAACAAGACCTTTGTCATCTATGACGTACTTACCGAAAACATTGCTTATATTCTTTAACCATGAAATAACATCCTCATTCATGCTGTCAAACATGAAGTAAGGTCTTACATACTCTTCACTTATAAGATACTCCACAAAGTACTTGTTAAGCTCTATGTCCTCGTGAGCGATTTCATTAGGTTTGATATTAGTTCCTTTTGTCATTGCTGTCATGTACTTCACTCTCATAGTTCCTTTCAATAGCGTAAAAATACTTCATTGTTTCATAACTGCTCTAAATTCTGTTCAAAATTCGTACAACATAACTTTTTAACATTAGTGAAAGAACATGAGCGAAACAACAACATCTAACATTACAGAAGAAGTCAATGACAATGCCGATGAAAACATTACAGAAGGAGCTAGTGAAAATATTGACGAGTTCAGTGAGGAAGAAGATATTGAGGACGTCAATGAGAACGTTAGTGGGGAACAAACTCAATGGGAAACATTGAGAAATCATGAAGATTATGAGATTTGTACGACATATCCTTTTACTATTCGTCGAAAGAAAAACAAACATATTAAGAGTGAATGCTTAAATAATCATGGTTATATTGAGCTTAGTTTAAACAACAAAACACATTTAAAGCATAGAATTATTGCAGAACAGTGGATTGAAAATCCAAACAATTTGAAAGAAATAGACCATATAAATCATGATAGAACGGACAACAGAATCTCAAACCTTCGTTGGTGTTCTAAATCTGAAAACAATAGAAATAAAAGCAAGTATGGCGATATAGTTTATGAGTTCGTTGATGAAATATCTGACGAAGCTGTTGAAATAACAGCTTATGGTAAGCATTCGTTTGAGTTCTACTATTATGTTGAGAATGAGGACGCATTCTATTATTATACAGGTCTTAACTATCGAAAACTTCATATAAACTTTACAAAAACAGGTGCTGCTTATGTTTGTATGATAGATACAGAAAACAAGAGAGTAATCTTATGCATAAACAAATTCAAACGCTTGTACGGCTTCATGTAGGACAAACATTATTTTTCAACACTAACGCCAACACGTAGGACAAACATTCATGACTAACATTACTGTATAACATAAATGTTTTGTCATAGATTTCATCGTATATGTTTTGTCAAAACTTCATCGTACATGTTTTGTCAAGATTCTTCATCGTACATGTTTTGTCAAGACTTCTTCATCGTATATGTTTTGTCATGATTTCATCGTAAATGTTTTGTCGTGATTTCTTCGTATATGTTTTGTCAAAACTTCTTCGTATATGTTTTGTCATGATTTCTTCGTTTATGTTTTGTCAAAACTTCTTCGTATATGTTTTGTCATAGATTTCATCGTAATGAGTGTAAATGATTTCATATAATTGCTTACCTCGGAAAACCGAGAGAAGAGATTCCATATGAAAATCGCAAGAATTTGGCTCCTGGTTTGAAATATTATTATGTTCATAGACTTCATCGTATATGTTTTGTCAAACATGAACGTATATGTTTTGTCATGATTTCATCGTAAATGTTTTGTCATGACTTCATCGTATATGTTTTGTCATGATGATTTCATCGAAACTAAACGTATATGTTTTGTCGTGATTTTATCGTAAATGTTTTGTCGTGATTTTATCGTAAATGTTTTGTCATGACTTCATCGTATATGTTTTGTCAAGATTTCTTCATCGTATATGTTTTGTCAAGATTTCTTCATCGTAATGAGTGTAAATGAACCAAAAATAATGTTTACGTTCATGTTTGACAACACAGCAGGGGAAGGCAGTTATGAATTATTTTTGAAGAACTGAAGGTGTCACTACGTCACCATGTGTCACTCGGTTAATGAACTTCTCTGAAAAAATGAGACAACATGACATTTTGACAACAACACAGGAAATAAATGTTTACGTAAATGTTTTGTCATGATTTCTTCGTATATGTTTTGTCATGACCTCATCGTAAATGTTTTGTCATGATTTCTTCGTAAATGTTTTGTCGAAACTTCTTCATCGTAAATGTTTTGTCATGATTTCTTCGTAAATGTTTTGTTATGACCTCATGGAACTTAAACGTACATGTTTTGTCGAAACTTCTTCGTAAATGTTTTGTCATGATTTCTTCGTTTATGTTTTGTCGAAACTTCTTCATCGTAATGAGTGTAAATGTTTTGTCAAACATGAACGTAAATGTTTTGTCAAACATGAACGTAAATGTTTTGTCGAAACTTCTTCATCGTAAATGTTTTGTCATGATTTCTTCGTTTATGTTTTGTCGAAACTTCTTCATCGTAATGAGTGTAAATGTTTTGTCAAACATGAACGTAAATGTTTTGTCAAACATGAGTGTAAATGTTTTGTCATGATTTCTTCATCGTAAATGATTTGTCAAACATGAGTGTAAATGATTTGTCATGATTTCATCGTAAATGATTTGTCGAAACTTCTTCATCGTAATGAGTGTAAATGTTTTGTCAAACATGAGCGTAAATGTTTTGTCGAAACTTCTTCATCGTAAATGTTTTGTCATGATTTCTTCGTTTATGTTTTGTCGAAACTTCTTCATCGTAATGAGTGTAAATGTTTTGTCAAACATGAGCGTAAATGTTTTGTCATGATTTCTTCATCGTAATGAGCGTAAATGTTTTGTCAAACATGAACGTAAATGTTTTGTCATGATTTCTTCATCGTAATGAGCGTAAATGTTTTGTCAAACATGAACGTAAATGTTTTGTCATGATTTCTTCATCGTAATGAGCGTAAATGATCCAAAAATAATGTTTAGGGTAGAAGGGTAGATCTAACCTCATTTCTAACCTCATGAATTTTCATACGGAATCTCATCGTACATGTTTTGTCAAAACTTCTTCGTACATGTTTTGTCATGATTTCTTCTTCGTATATGTTTTGTCAAACATGAACGTAAATGATTTGTCAAACATGAACGTAAATGATTTGTCAAACATGAACGTATATGTTTTGTCATGACCTCATCATCGTAATGAGTGTAAATGTTTTGTCATGATTTCTTCATCGTACATGTTTTGTCGAAACTTCATCGTACATGTTTTGTCGAAACTTCATCGTACATGTTTTGTCGAAACTTCATCGTATATGTTTTGTCATGATTTCTTCGTATATGTTTTGTCAAGACTTCTTCATCGTAATGAGTGTAAATGACCCAAAAATATATTTTAGGTGAAGAGGTTAGATCTCACCTCTTTTCTCACCTCAGCCGCTAAGCGGCGAGACCCAAAGGGTCTTGAATTTTCATGATTTCTTCATCGTATGTTCTTTGTCAAACATGAACGTAAATTTTTTGTCAAACATGAACGTATATGTTTTGTCAAGACCTCATCATCGTAATGAGTGTAAATGATTTGTCATGATTTCATCGTACATGTTTTGTCGAAACTTCTTCGTA